AGGTCATTGGGATTCGATCGAATTGAGTTTTCCTCTGATCAGGAACTTGCTGATTTTGTTGACAAACTAGAGCAATATGAGGTAAATTGAACACAAGGATGACAAGAGAAACATGTTGATTCTGACGATGATTGTTTCTTCCTCTGGTTCTCTTCTTGGAAAATTTATTACCAAACTTTTTCACACCACTAGATGAGCCACCATATTTAGATAAACATGCCTTTCGGACATCCTTTTCTAGAAGCACTCCCATATTCACTTTTTCAGGTAAATCACTGGGCGCATTGACTATCACCTTCTCATGAAAGAATGATTTCAGAGTTTCTGTGAAGACCTTTTCCATTTCTTCTTCCTTCCTAGAAGGATTGACTTGGGTAGCAACCAAAGTTTCAACCAAAGCAGTTAGATACTCCATACCATCCTTCAAAGTAGTTACCTCTTTGTGGAGTTCAAAGGTCTCTTGCTTAATGTTTTCCATCTTCTCTTAGCATGAGTGTTGTATCGATCAAATAACTTGATGACTGAACGGAGTAAAGAAACATAGTAAGAAAACTAGGTATGAACAGAAATGTAAGAATATGTGCAAAATGATGCATGATATGCGATGCATATGATTGCTTAATAGTTTTAAGACCGAGTTTTCGAAGAACTTTGGAACATTATAAATGAATTGCAAACATCAATTTAAAAACACAATTGGTACAACTGAAAAGCTCAATTCATTAATACTGGAAAGGTTACATTTGAAGTACAAAACTTCCCTAATCCTATACAGAAGAAAGAGAAAGATAAATCCTCAGGTTCAAATGAACTACATCCAAAGAAGATCCAACACCGTGTCATAACATATTCTTGAGCTTAAATTCGGAATCCTAAAGGAAAATAGATCCTATTGCACTCTTCTCTTATACTTTGCTGATAATTGGGAAAATAAATCACCGACACAAGGGATTGAGGAACTGGATCAAGAGCATGGAGAAATCCATCTTCAAGACATCTTGGAGAACTTGAAATCCCAAGGACTAGATACCAAGGATTCATGCTTTCTCAATCCTTCTGAATCAGGACTCTTGACATTGTACTTCTGAGTACTCCTTCAAAAATCCATAATTACAAAACTTGTGATGTTTGCAAACAAAAGTCTTAAGTTCCTTGAAAATTTGGTTAAAACAACGCTCATGGGTGCATGGATGCATGATGCAACAATCACACACAAGATCACAAACATGGGGAGGTTCATAGGTTCGATGTCACGAGCATGAAGTCAAAGTTATTATCCACAAGGTATGGACTAATATTTTACCACCTGCCAAACAAGGTTCTAAAAGGTTCCCAGAGTCTACATCCTTCCTTCAGATATTACCAGTGTCCCGATTAACTCGGTAATTATTAATATTCTCCGGAAAAACTCATGTGAGTGTAGTATTGTATGAAAACCATTTTCGGATTACTCTTTCATAGCTTCCGTACTACACCTAAAAGGCCAAGATGGGTTAAGTGTTCTACGGTCCTGAGCTTCAGCAGGCTCCCATGTCGAAAGCAACATATCTTCCTGATTACTCGGTAAACGAGACTACAGACAAAGGGGCCTCCACTGAGTGGGGCATTTCATGTCTCCTTCTTTGGGATTACTCCCTCAAAGTTAACATTATTATACCTCCCGTCCTATCTTAAGTTTGCCCAAGTTCGGGTAGAGGACTTATGAGAAATCACCAAGCATCCTGAAAACCATGAAAATCCAGACAAACATATATACAACATATAATATATAACAAATAATAACACATCTACAAATAATAAAAGATAGGCTCAACCCACTTAGAGATGGACCAACATTTGGTCAATGTTTCCCCAGTTAAGTCGCCATTTCTTCTGTAACGGTAGAAATGTTGAGACAAAGCCATTGGATTGACTTGACTCACACAGATCAAATAAAAATCGCAACAGTGCTTTATTATTTCAAGAGGAATGGGAAAAGAGCGAGTAACCCAAAAAAGAGGGGGAGAGAATCTAAGTTCGGGGGTTGGTTATGCAAAGAGATGGTATTAACACCCTAAACATCTACAGTACTCCACAGGAACCTCTTTGAAATTTTGTGTATTTTGGCTATAAATGTTGTATATAGAAATAGATGATGGAGGTGAGAAGAGAAATATTTTTTACAATTTTTGCACCCGCCGCGGTTGCGAACCTTTGGTGCCCACGTACCACCTTCCGTGTAATATGGGATCAGGGTACTTGTAGTTCACCTTTAAAAATTTTAAAACACAAGTGTGTTGGTTAATTTTAAGAGACAAGACATTATCTTTGTATCTGAGTGGAAAACATACTTACTACCCACAATCATGAGAAAGGATAATTTGCATCATCTCAAAGTGGGGGATATAGCTTGAATTTTAAAATCAACAAAGCTTTACTCAACACCCAAATTTAAAATATCCCACTTAACTACATATCATAGACGTATAGTAGCTCACATCACTACAAGGATTGACAAGTGTCTAATGTTTTGAGAAGGTTTAAGTAAAAAAGCCAAAACGGAAAAATGGTTTGAATGAGATTGATTAACTTTTGGTCTTCTCACAAAAAATATCAAAGTATTGTTAAGTTGTTTAAAGTTTGATTAAGAAAATGTTCTTGAAAATGCATGGATCTAAGCCCAAGTTTATTATGAAAGCAGTTCATGTTTAAAAAAACAAGAATAGTTTTGAAAAGGAGGGAGAAGATTTTTGAAATTAAAGAAGATGGGAGGAGATGAAGGGACTATCCTAAAGCATAAGGTAAAAGCTAGGGAAAAGAACCATCTAACCAACAAGAAGCCAACACTTGACATAATGAGTCAATGTAGAATTCTCATCCTTTTGATTTGAAACCAAACAAGCAAAGATAATAAACCTCTTAAGAAAACCAAGCTTCAAATGCATTAAGTCTTCACAAAAATTGGGCAGAGTAACGATTGTATACAGATGAATTCCCAATCACAGACAAAACACGTAATAAGAATAACCTGTACACAAAGAAAACTAACAACCCAATGTCTCAGGGTAAACCCCAAGAACTCCAGACAAAGCAACAATAAAAGTTACAAGGTCTCAATGTAGGTCAATGTCTCTATTCCTAAGTCCAAGAAGTCCATAACTCCATCATGCAAAGGATAGTAACCAAATAGTCTAAGTAATCTTAAAGCTTTTTATTGTTCAAGTTGATTATTAAGTATCTTCAAAAAGAAAATTAAAAGCTCAAGTGAGCAAAATAAAATGACATAAAGATTAATGCTCAAGTGAGCAAACATGAGAATAGCATGAAATGTAAATGCTAAGATAAATGGTGCTTAAAGTAAAAGCATAAAGTATAAGCATAGAAATAAAAGTCAATCTTCAATGACTTAGAAATTAGAGGTTAGTTGAATGAACATCTTGAAACTTGCATTTGAAAACTCATTAGAAGATTGATAAAATCAAAATCTATCAACAATAAGTTTCGTTTTCTTTTTGTCAAGTATATCATTCATTTCAAATTCTCAAAGAAACAACAAATGATCAACGATGTTTAAATGATTCACTTAGACCAAATTTTATGAAAGTCCATTAGAGGATTGATAAGACCAAAGCCTCATAACAATGAACCTCTGGGTTATTGGATCAAATACTTAAAATTAAACATACTTGAGCTTGCAAACATAGGTTTGGACCATGAATGATCATTTCTCGAATCGAGACAAAATTTAGCATTATGTTAGCAATCGTAAGTGGACTTATATAGAAGTCGCATCTATTTTGAGGTCGGTCAATAGCAATCTATGTACCCTATGTTTAGAGAAATGATATGTAGATCATTGTCTAACAACATGTAGTACCAGTAAGAATAAGAAAGAGAGAAGAGGAACAAAAATTAAATTTCATATTTGAACCAAAGAATTTAATCAAGCTATTATTAAAATCATTCATCCATTTTGGTGGAGTTAAACTCAACACCCAAGATTCAATGATGTTAATAAAACTCATGATTAAAATTCACATAGTCCAAGATCATCTAGAATATATACAAAAATTAAGTTGCATTTTACAATCAAAATAGAATGAGAAAATTGATTTTTTTTAATTATTTTTTAAATGGAAATAAAAGGTAGAATAATAAACTATATTAAAAATATCAAAGAAAAATTAAAACAGACCATATAAAAGTCAGAAATGATCTCAAATATTTTTTTAAAAATTTTGGTAATTTTTAAAAACAGAAAAGTATTATTAAGCCAATTAAAATCACTCAAATAAGTGAAAAATAATTAAAAATAGCAAAAATCGAAAATAAATTCCAGAAAAAGTACACTAAGTCATAAATGAGATAAATGATTTTTGTGAACTTTTTCAGAATTTTTGGGAGAAAAATGAATTTACAATAAATTTTTGAAGTAAAAATGGATTAAAAGAAAAGAAATTAAAACAGAAAAATTGTGTACCATGAGATCCAAGCAACTGACAAAAGTATGGAGATCTAATGGCTCAAAATACAGGTACACGTTAATTACAAAACGTACGTGCACATGTGATTATTTTTTGACTTTATCTTCTCAGATGAGGACAAGTAGCGGAGGGACCACTTGTCCTCCATGTACTAGCCGATGCGTATACCGAGACAGATGGAGAAAGAAAAGTAAAAAAACAGAGTAAGCCAAAGTGGTTTACATTAAAATTGCAACACTATTATATTTTTTTTTGTTCAAACTAAAGCCATCTATCTCTTGTAATACATCATCATTATGTTCCTTTTTAAATAAAAAAACAGAAAGCGTAGATATAGGAAAGAAGAGAGGAGACCACAGAGAGATAGAGAGAAGCGCGGAGGTGACCGGCCAGCCTCACGCCGCCACAAAAAGCAACAATTTCAATTTTTTTATACATTTTTTGGTTCGTATTCTCCTCCTCTACTCAAATATCAAACTAATTTTTTGAGAAAACCAATAGATTTTGCAAGATCTAGAAAAAGGTTTCGAAAGTATTATGTTCAAAAGTAACAACAATGATCACAGAAGCAAGGAAATAAAGAGGGATCGGTTCAATAAAAGAGCGGCTCCGACGAGGGGCAGTTCGGGTGCAATTTACAGCAAAGGTAAAGGTCGGGTTCAGGCGAGTCAGACGAATTCCGGTGAGGTAAATTTTTTATTTGAGTTTTCTATTTGCTCTGATTTTGTCAGTGAATGAATCTCTCCTTGAACCAGTGAGATTAATGTTTATATACTATGTAGAACTTAGGGTTTTAATTTGAAATGAATTAGGCTGAGATGAAACATTATTGGGTTGAAAGTTTGTAAGAAATGAAATGTCAAAATTTGCTCTTAAAGAGCACCACGGAAATTGCTCTAATGTCTCCCTAACTACGACTTGTTTGCACTCTTTGTGATGTTAATGGACTATTATATTGGACATTAAAGAATGAAAAATACTAATGTTCTTTTTCGGAACTTGCATTTTTTGTGATATATTTTTTTTTGGATGAATTGTGGAATAAACATGATGAAAACAAATTGAGTCGTTGTGGTTGTGTTTGTTGAGATTTTTTTGAATGAACCTTTGAATCTTGGGCTATGGAATCGAGATTTCTAACTTCACCTTATTCATCTTTTTTTTTTTGTGGATGGATGGTGTGAGTATGAAGAGGAAACCTTGAAGATACATAGAGAAATCCTTGGCAAAACTTGCTTGGAGTGGATCTTGAAGAAAGCACTGATGTATGCTAAAAGTCATGGAGCTTAACCTAACCTAAAAAATGAATGAATTCTATTTATATAAAACCAAAATCCACAAACCGCGCTAAGCATGCTATCATTATTTACACTTAAACCAACCTAACCATGCCAAGCGCCCCCAGACCGTGCTTAGGATGTAACTCTCTGACTTTCTAACTTTCTGCGCGTTATGACCGAACTTAGCCCCATCTGCAACATTTATAGAATTCATGTTACAACCATGCAATAAATACATACAAAAGAGATACAACCATGCAATAAATACATATAAAAGGGATACAACTATCAATCGATGCAATATTTACACGAATACACGATTATACAATTATTTACACAAAAGTTGGGGTTTTACTATAAAAACCAAAAGAACAAAGCTTATAAATGCCACAAGATACTACTAAAAATAACGATATTTTGACACTTATCAGCTCTTCCCAACTTAAAACATTGTTTTTACTTAAAAAAAAGGTCTCTCCAACCTAAAAAAATAAAAAGCAACACTCAAGAAATTATGAATCCACAAGTTTAAAAAAGTGAAAACAAAGGTATGGTTCAATAAAAAAATGTACAAGCAAAGAAATACTTACCACTTTACTACAACGAAAACATAAAAATAAAACAAATCCTAAACATAAAACCCATGTCAAAAACTCTAAGACAATACAAACTCAATCATAAATCATACCTATCACACATGTTCAAATGATGAAGAAAAATGAAAGAATGAGGGAAACAATTCACACCAAAACATTATGAAAACATCCTGATTAACTTAGGTTTTCATTAAAGAAAAATCATATTGAAAGCATAAAAGCATAAATCACAAGTACTTTCAAGGATTGTAACGCGGCTTGGGTAACAAGGAAGGGTCATATCTAAAGACCAATGAAACAAAATTGCCTAACCTAATGAAAGTAATCACTTCCCACACTTTCAAACAATAAAAAATTATACAACCATTTCTCATTACACAAAGTTACAACCTTGATCTTATTCTTTTTTTTTCTTTTCTCTTTCTTTTCTTTTTCTTTTTCTTTTCTTTTTCACATTTCTTTTATTTTCTTTTTCTTTTTCAACCACTTTATTATTCAACCTCTAACAAACAAATTATAAGCAATCAACCATTGCTCTCCCTAACTTAAATACAACCACACATAGTGAAATGAATGCTCTCAACTTTTTAAGGCAAGGAAAAATTTCAACCACAATACATGGTTGAGGTCAAGTGCCAAGAAAAAAAATTAGTATCCACGATAAACTACTTATTCATGCACAAGTTCATAATTCAACACCAAGATGAATTCTAACAAAAAGGCTAAAAAAGGTTAACAAATGCTCGCTCACTCGCAAGGTGAATTACTTTTGGTTAGGTTGTTATGCTCAAAATCAAACAAAATCCTTAAACATTTTCATCCTTCCTTACAAAACAATATAAATGCAAGATTTAACATAAGCCAAACAAGTTAAAACAAAATTGTTGGTATCATGTGCATGTAGTAAACAAGGGAAAACTTCCTCCTAAAAAGGCTTGGATCTAAGGGGATTCAATCATTAACAATATTGCAATATAATAAATGACATGCAATTTAAACAAATTAAAAGTTTCATAATCAGGCTATGTTATAGAAAGCATTAAACATGTACCTTGTGTAACACTCTGTTTATCGTTTAAATTATTTTAATTAGATGATTATGTGATCTTGTGCTTTTGCGTGTTTTAGTGAATGTCAGAATGTGTTGTTGTACTTTGACAAGAGGTGATTACCTTGTTAAGGTTGAGGGATGTATGAATAGTAACATAGAACCAGGGGTGGACGAAGAATATATTATTATAATTATTATCATAATTAGAATTAAAGTGGTGATTAATATAATTATAAATTAAATAATTATTTAATTAGATGTGGGTAAAGTTGGGATTGAGAATTAAGGATCTAGAGGTTAATATTGGGAAAACAAGGAAGTGAGATGATAGAATGAGAAACAACTCGTGAAAAGAGAGAAGATGAGAAGAATTCACTTGAGGCTGGGGCAAGAAAATTCGTTGTAGAAGTTGAAAATCGTCAACCTAGGGGAAGGATGAGATTTTAACTATATAACGGGTTGTATACTGATGGAGAATGGTAGTGATTAATATTGCCATAGTTAGGTTTCTTTCTCATGATTTTGCTTTGGTGTGTGGTTGAATCTTTCGATGAATTTGTTGATACCTTATGATTAATTGATGAAATTAATGACGTGAAATGAGTTTGAATGATGGTTAACGTATGTGCACAATTTATGAAATCATAAGACATTGTTTTGGTTGGAAAATTGGAGTTTTAGGGATGAGTGGACTACTTTTTGTACTAGAAAAAGATGCAAAAATTTTAACTGTCAAGTTGTGGAAATCGATTACCCATTCCGAGGAAATCGATTTCCAGAACTAAATTTTTGAAAAAAATGACCACTGGAAGTGAGGGAATTGATTACCCATCCTGGGGAAATCGATTTAGTGAATGAAATTTTTCAAAAAAAATAGATATTGGAAGTGAGGAAATCAATTACCATTATTAGGGTAATCAATTTCTTGAAGCTGACAGACTTTTTTTCAAAACATGTAAAATTCATAACTTTTGACTCGAGTGTCTGTTTGATGCACCATTTGGATTGATGAAAATCTAAAAATATGTTCTATCTTATAAATATAGTTTTGTTACAGAGGGTGATTATTTGTTAGGGGCTTATGCTTATTTTTGTGTATTCTGTAAGATGGGTGATTATGGATGTTGTACTTACGTGTGACGATGATATGCGAAGTTGTATGAATAATCTGCATAGTATGCTACTTGTATGATAATGATGATGATGACCTGTATTGGCGTGTTTCATTAGTGGATATGAATATCAATGCATAATACATTGTTGCATGTTGGCGTTGCATGCATTCATGGTAAGGGCTTATCCTGTTGATGGCCGGTATTGGCGTTATGATGAGGGCTTATGCCATGTCATTTCCATATTTGGCATAATGATTGGGGCTTATGCCCCATTGGTACCACATGCATTGAGTCTTTGAGTCGGTATCGTTGCATCACATTATTATTATGTTGTTGAAATGTGTAGACGTGTGTGTTATACCGTAATGGATTATATGTGTTATTGGATAGTTTGATTGTATATTTGACATGCCATATGATAGTCGTAAAATGATGTGAAGGTGTGAGATGGAGAACGTATAACTATGCGTAACAATTTTCTATATGCTTATTATTATGCTATCTTTTATATTGTTACAATATCTCACTCCTTCTGTTTGAATGTTACCTCAACATGGGTAACATGCAGGTGACCCATTTTAGAGGAAGTTAATCGTCATTTATTTTGAGTCGGCTTTATGATCTGATACGTAACATTATGGGGGATGAATGCTACTTTTATTTATTCATGATGAACTATCTGATTTTAAGGATTCTTTGATGATTGAGTACACATGGATTTAATTGTTGGATGAGTTGTGTGAAGTTTCAAATTGTGAACTTTTTCTGCTTCTTAATAAAGTGTGAAACTTGAATACTATGATGTGTTGTTTTTAGTTCATCATTGTTTGGTGTTTTGTATCATTTAATATTATAGGAAGTCGTGCATAATTTTGAATAATGTAGGATCTTGATTATGATTGATGTTTTAAATTACTCTAATTTAATTATAATTACGTAAGGTTAAACTAGGATGTTACATTAGTGGTATAAGAGCAGGTTGGTTCATCCGGCCAAGTTATTGAGTCAATAGTGTAGTGTGATAGTTGAATACTATCGATATGTTTCTTCCAACAATTGTTTGATGTTATGGTGTGAAATATAGAAATGGTTGGAAGAACTGATGCTATGATTATTGTTGCTTTGCAGGCTATGGCTCAGGATGTGAAACATCATCCTAATGTTGGTGGGAATGATGGATCATGTCATTTGGAAACATTCTAGAGGAACCATCTGCCTACATTCAAGGGTATTTTCCTGAAGGTGTCAACGGGAAGAAAGAAATTGAATTTATGGATTTGAAATAGGGAGATTTGTTGGTGACTGAATATGTTGCTAAGTTCGTGGAGTTAGAAAAGTTCTATCCTCATTACAATGAGGAGACTGCCGAATTTTCAAAATGTGTCAAGTTTGAGAGTGATCTGCGCCCATAAATCAAGAGAGCAATTGGATATCAGCAGATTCAAAAACTTCCAGAATAGGTGAATAATTGTAGAATTTATGAGGAGGACAGTAAGGCTCACTACAAGATCATAAATGATAGGAGAGAGAAGCAATAACATAATTGTGGGAATCCTTATAATGCTCCAGTTGAAAAAGGAAAACAAAGAGTTGATGATGGTAAGAGGCCAAGTGGGGGAGGCACCCCTACTAACCTTAAATGTTTCATATGTGGTAGACCGGGTCATCAAAGTAATGAATGTACTGGTGAACTTAGAGGTGTTTCCATTGTGGTAAGGCTGGACATGAGGTAGATGAATGTAAACACAAGGCAGTAATATGTTTCAACTACGGCGAAGAGGGACATATTTGTACTCAGTGTCAGAAACCGAAGTAAGTTTAATCCAGTGGATAAGTATCTGCTTTAGCTGAGACTCACAAATCTAGTGGATACCGATTAACTAGAGGTATATGTTTCATTAAAATTACTCCTTTAATTACTATTATTGATATTAGTGCTACACATTGTTTTATTGCTGCTGATTGTACAAAAAAGTTGGGTCTTGTAATATCTTCTATGAATGGAGAGATGGTTATTGATACTCTAGCTAATAGATCATTGACTACCTCTCTAGTATGTTTGACTTGTCCTTTTTCAATCATTGACAGAGATTTTGTTATGGATCTATTTTTTTTACCTCTGAGTGGTCTGGATTGTATTTTGGGTATGAACTGGTTGGAATATAATAATGTTCATATTAATTGCTACAACAAATCCGTTCGATTTTCTATTCCTGACAAGGAAGAGGAAGCTAGGTTCTTGTCTGCTAGGCAGTTGAATGAGTTGATGCAAGATGAAGCTCAGATGTTTTCGTTAATGGCGTCTTTTTCTATTGAGAATCAGACTACAATTGATGAGTTTCCAGTGGTGCATGAATTTCCCGATGTCTTTCCAGATGATATTACAGATGTACCGCCAGAAAGAGAAGTGGAATTTTCTATTGATCTTGTCCATGATACCATACCCATTTCTATGGCACCATATAAGATGCCAGCATCTGAGTTAACAGAGTTGAAGAAGCAATTAAAAGACTTACTTGAAAAGAAATTTGTGAGGCCAAGTGTATCACCTGGGGGAGCTCCGGTGTTACTGGTGAAAAAGAGGAAGGTAGTATGAGGCTATGTGTTGATTATCGACAATTGAATAAAGTGAAAATAAAAAACAAGTATCCACTTCCGAGAATAGATGACATGATGGATCAATTGGTGGGTGCATGGGTGTTTAGAAAAAATAATTTGAGATCAGGTTATCACCAGATTCGAGTGAAAGATGACGATATTCAGAAGACGGCTTTAAGGACTCAGTATGGACATTAGGAGTATTCGATGATGTCGTTCGGTGTTACTAATGTTCCAAGGGTATTTTGGAGTATATGAACTTTATCTTTCACACTTATTTGGATTGGTTCGTGTTGTACCCCATTTTTTCCCCATAAGATCCCTTCATCATACCATGTTGGTTCCATCACAACAAGATCACATTAGGATTCTTGGTTCCCATCCCAATATTTAGCTTTGCTCTTTGAGGAATCACCAAACACCTTTACTTGTGTTCTTTTGTGATTATGAATATTTTTTGTCTTGATCTCTTCTCTTAATTAATAAAATGCAATGTTGGTTTGTCTTGCTTGTTACTCATGTAGGTAAAGTCAATAAGATTCAGCAAGTTGCTCCATGGGTTCATGAGTTTATTTCCATGCCCTAGTCAATAAAGCTTGAGAAGTTCAAACCTCACCATTGGATTTTTTTTGAAGGAAATGGCATGGCAAGGTTATTTTGGTTCACCATATTTCAAGATTATCAAATTTGGTTCAAAAGTACAAAGGATTGATTGGAGAAGTTGTCATAGGGAATCATTGATGAGAGTACTAGGCCAAGCTTTTGTAGAGAATGACATGCCGTTGGATCAATTCATCAGCGTAATTGGAAACATTACGTCATGTAACAACTTGAGTTTCTGCGATGATGAGTTACCAGATGAAGGGAGGAATCACAACCTGGCCCTCCACATATCCATGAACTGCAAGAATGACTCGCTATCTAATGTGCTAATTGATAACGGATCTGCTTTGAATGTTATACCAAGAAGTACCATCATGAAGTTAAAGTATCAGGGAACACCTATGCGCCTGAGTGGCATCATTGTGAAGGATTTTGATGGGTCGAGGAAATCTGTCATCGGTGAAGTGGACTTGTCCATCCATATAGGACCACATTTGTTCTTGATAACTTTCCAGGTAATGGATATTATTCCCGCATATAGTTGTTTGCTTGGACGGTCATGGATACACGAACCAGGGGTTGTCACTTTAACTCTGCATCAGAAGCTAAAGTTTATGTGTGAAGGGAAGGTAGTGATCATAAATGGGGAGCAGGCGTTGTTGATATCCCATCTATCCTCTTTCAGTATTGTAGAAGCGGATGAGGTTGCTGTTGGAACCCAGTTCCAAGCCCTATCCATTGACAACATAAGGAAGAATGAGAATTCCGTGGTTTCTTTGAAGGACGCGCAGCAGTTTGTGCGCAATGGTCATAATGCAGTTTGGGGACGACTTGTGGATCCACCCACGAACAAAAACAGAGCTGTTTTAGGTTTCTCTTCGAGGAATGGTAAAGGCGAAAGTTGGAAATCAAAGTCTTCTGTGAACAGTTATCATGATGTTTTCCGCAACGGAGGCTACCTCCATCCGATTGGTTCTGGAATTAATGTTGTTGAAGAGGATGAAGCAGAGCAGGAAGCACCTAATTATGTGACGCATGGAGTCTGACTTCAGAACTGGGTCACCATTGATGTTCCTTCTTGCATACATATTTCAAAGTAATTTGTTTTGTTAATTTGTTTCTTTCTTTTGAAAAGCTTTCACTCTGCCAAAGGTGGAAGTATTAATGTTGTAGGGCTTATCTATTTGCTATAATTGATAAGATCATTAATAAAAGTTGTCTTTGCTTCCAAATGATGTCTTTTATTTTCTGCCTTTTTCTTGGGAAATGGTAATAAATAAATAAAAAACCATTTTTAAAATAAGTAATAACTGAAAATTAATCTGCATGATCACTTGTTATATGTGTCAGTTTCTAAAAGCAATCATAAATCACATGTGCAGATTAATTAAAAAACCCATTGAATACAATGACCCTGCACCCTCTCCCAACTTTGATTGTCCTGTGTTTGGGGCCGAAGAAGAATATTATGATGAGATTCCAGAAGAGGTCTCATGGTTTCTTGAGCACGAGGAGAATACCATTCAGCCATATAAGGAGCCTTTGAAAGTGGTTAATTTGGGTTCAGAAGAAGATCCGAAGGAGGTTAAGATTGGAGCATCGTTGCATCCTAATGTGAAGAGAGGGTTGATTGAGATGTTGAAAGAGTACGTGAATATTTTTGCTTGGTCTTATCAAGATATGCCTAGTCTAGATACAAACATTGTCGAGCATCGCTTGTCGTTGAAGCCAGAGTGTCCTCCATTTAAACAAAAATTGAGAAGAACCCACCCGGATATGGCAATAAAGATCAAGGAGGAGGTCCTAAAGCAGATTAATGCTGGTTTTATTGTGACATCAGTGTATCCTCAATGGATTGCCAATATTTTCCCTGTACCGAAAAAAGATGGAAAAGTCCGCATGTGCGTAGATTACAGAGATCTAAATAAAGCTAGTCCAAAAGATGATTTTCCATTGCCTCACATTCACATGTTAGTGGATAGAACAGAAAAATTCAAGGTATTCTTGTTCATGGACGGATTTTCTGGGTATAATCAAATAAGAATGACTCCAGAGGACGTGAAAAAAATAACGTTTATCACACCCTTGGGAACATTCTGTTACAGAGTGATGCCCTTCGGGTTGAAGAATGTTGGTGCAACGTACCAGAGGGCTATGATAACCCTATTCCATGATCTGATGCACAAGGAAATCGAATTATATGTTGATGATATGATTGCCAAATCCCAAACTGAAGAAGGGTATATAGAAGATTTGTTGAAGTTGTTTCGGCGTTTGAGGAAGTATCGTCTCCGCCTGAATCTAAATAAATGCACCTTCGGAGTTAGATCGGGGAAATTGTTAGGTTTTATTGTTAGCCAGAAAGGAATTGAAGTTGACCCTGACAAAGTTAAGGCAATTCAAGAAATGCCAGCGCCAAGAACTGAAAATCAAGCCAGGGGTTTCCTCGGGCGTTTAATTATATCTCCAGATTTATTTCTCACATGACTGCAACATGTGAACCGATCTTTAGGTTGTTAAAGAAAGATCAAGGTTGTGTGTGAACAGATGACTGCCAAAGGGCATTTAAAAGTATTAAAGAATATCTTCTTAAACCTCCTATCTTGCTCCCTCCTGTAGAAGGAAGACCGTTGATTATGTATATGACAGTGTTAGATAAATCCATGGGTTGTATCCTGGGACAACAGGATGAAACAAGAAAGAAAGAGTTCGCCATTTATTATCTCAGCAAAAAGTTCAATGATTGTGAGTCGCGGTATTCTATGCTAGAAAAAACATGTTGTGCTTTGGCCTGGGCGGTAAAGCATTTGCGGAAGTATATGTTAAATAATACTACTTGGTTGTTCTCCAAAATGGATCCAATCAAGTATATTTTTGAAAAGCCTGCTCTTACTGGGAGAATTTCCCGCTGGAAGATGTTGTTATCTGAATATGATATTTAATACCGCACTCAAAAAGCTATCAAAAGTAGTGTGTTGGCAGATTATCTTGCTCACCAGCCG